CAATGTCAAGAAGACAAAAATTCTCACCACTGGACCAATTGGTAGCATCAGGATGGATGGCAAAGAGGTTGAGATTGTTCACAGCTTCAGTTTGCTCGGCTCCACGGTCAACACTCTTGGCACCAGTAGCCAGGAAATCAAAAAACGTATTGCGATGGGCAAGTCCGCGGTTAGGGACCTCTCTAAAATACTCAAGAGCAGCAGTGTCTATCTGGAGACTAAGATGTGCCTGATACAGGCCATGGTTTTTGCAATCACTTGTTATGCATCAGAGAGTTGGACAATGACTAGGGAGGATAGAAGGAGAACTGACGCCTCTGAGCTGTGGCGCTGGAGTAGAGTATTGAATGTACCATGGACTGCCAAGAAAACAAACAGATTCATCCTAGAGAGGGTTAAAGCAGGCTGCTCCTGGGAGGCAAGGATTCTGGGGCTTCGTCTGACATACTATGGACATGTTGTAAGGAGAGACAGGTCTTTAGAGAGGGACATCATGCTGGGTAGAGGGACGGCACAGGAGGGGAAGACCCTCTATGAGGTGGATTGATTCAGTGACTGGGGTAATCGGGATGGGTGTGTCGGAGACAATGGGATTGGCAAAGGATAGAGCAGGGTTTAGGGCTGTTGTACATAGGGTCGCTATGAGTCGCAAACGACTCGACGGCACTTAACAACAACAACCACCTGTATGAAGTGCTCCACGAAGGGACAGCAAGTGCAAAGTTGTGGTGGCCAGTGTGAGGGAGGTGAGTGCAGTCCCTGGGAGAGCAGAGGCCAGGAGGGAAAAGCAAGGCTGCAGCAAGCTGACGGGTTTGGGGCTGGAGGCTGTGACTGGACTCCAACCTACACGTGAGCAGCATCCAGTGATACATTTAAGTTCATCCCTCTGGGCACAAGAAGTAGACTGGCAGGGAGGCTCCAGTTCAAGTCTATGGCTGGATGAGGCTGTAGGGTGGTGAGAAGCGGTCAGATCCAGGCTGTGGTTACAGGGCTGGCCATAAGGGATATTTCCTTTCTGACTCGTCCCAGCCCCACAAAGGGCCCCCCTGTTCAAAGCAGCAGTGATTGCCACAGTGTGGACAACGCAGCAAAACTCCCAAGCAACACAGACTAGGTGCCACATAACACGTATTAACGACCAGTGCAATATGTTTTGTTACAACTGGAGAGGTGAGCTGATTTGACCACCAATCACAAAACAGCATTGCGAGGTGGGGACCCCTCACTGCACCTCCATCCCTCCTGTGCCGCTCCCACCTGTTCTGCTCATGGAATAAAGCTCCATCGGCCAGAGACTGCTTGATCCACTGCGTACCCTCACCACCTTCCATAATGCCCAACACTAAGCCCTAAACTCCAAGAACAAACAGAAATTGGGTGGCGAAGCACCCAGACAAACCAGCAGTCCTGACTCCCTCAAGTTCTTTTTCCTGGGGGCAGTTTCCTCAATTACCCAATGGAATTCTACTCTTATCTGTTAAGGCTGATGAGCATGGAATGTATATATGCACACTCATATTTATTGTTGTGTTATTTACAACAGCAAAGATAGGGAAGCAAACCAATTGCCCATCAAAGAATGAATGGATGGGAAAATGATGGTATATTCATACAATGGAATATTATGCAGGACTGAAAAACAATGAACTTGTAAAACATCACACAACATGGAGGACCCTGGAACACATCGTGCTGAATGAAATATCTGTCACAAAAGGATAATTACTGCATAGTACCACTGTTATAAAGCAGGTATGACATGGGAGGTTGGGAGAAGAATAGGGTAAGTGTGAGTAATTACTATTGCATTGGAACAGATGAAAGAACTGTCTAAAATAAATATATGATTAGGCATTATGTGTACGACAATAGCCCAGAATAAGAGATATCATTGCAAAGAAGACTGGGGGCAGTAGGTAATAGTGCAACAATGAGTATTTTTTTTTTAAAAAAGTAAACTGGGGACTGCCATAGGGGTTGGAGGGGAGACTGAGAAAGATGGGATAAGTTATGTATACTGCATTGAACAAGATGAGAGAGAGAGAACTGTTTAAAAAGTATATATGATTAGGTATTATTGTCATGGCAAGAGTCCAGAACGAAGGCTGCATAGTGGAATGGACTTGGGGGGGAGGGACTGGAAACAATGAAAGAATTTTTCTTTTACTTTGCAAAGAGAAGAACGAACTGAAAGGAAAGGGTGGGCAGGGAGTAAAGTGCAACAACGAATGAATAAATGAATGGAAATCCAAAATTAAATTTAATTTGCATTAAAATTAATAATAAAAAATAAAAAAAAAATTAAAAAGTGAACTGGGGAGGAAGAAGGGATAATGAGGGAATAAAATGTGCAACAATGAGTGAATGAAATCTAACTTCTCTAAATGTTCATTAAAATCAGTAAATAATTTTTTTTTAAAAACCTCGCTCAGCACCTGGTATCTCAATATAGTTGGAAGAGAGGGTGCTGGTCAGAGGGCTCAGTGGGAAAAGGCTTCCTATATAACCTCTGACAGTACCGGGCTTGGAAACTTGGACACCAGGACAAATGCAAGACTCAGCAACACCAAAGGCCTAGGCAATTCTAGAAGGTGCTGACATCCTTCTCCAGCTTTACTGCTGAATGCAGACTAGGGACTTACAAGTTGCAGCCATCACTAGGTACAGCCAATCTGGGATCAACTTAATTTTCCTACTGGAATTGTCTGTTGAGAAAGATCAGGACCAAGGAACAATTAGCCCAGTAAAGGGTTCCAGCCAGGACAGGGACTAGTTGGTTCTCTGCTCAGTGTCCATTCAAGTTCCTGATGAGGTGTGGGCTTGGGGAGGTGTTACTCTCTCCCAAGACCAGTTTCCACACTTGTTCAAGCACTGCCCTGTGCCTGTCACAGACCCGAGCAGTCACCATGTCAGCAGTTTGCCTCTGGGGCTGGGGCACACCAATACGAAGACATCAGCACAATGAAAGCAAGAGGCTTGGTGTTTGGCCTGGAACCAAACTCTCTGAGGGTGCAAGAAATAAATGGCAGAGAAAAAGAAATTAACACCTTATAATGAGTTTGGTGACTCCAGTTCTGCAGGCCAGAGAGAACAGGACTTAGTCAAGCTTGCAGAGGTGTCATGTAAATGTGGTGACATCTGCAGGTGTCATTACGAACAGGGCTGTCTACCATCACGTCATGTGGAACAGAAGCCCAATACCGAGCAGGTGGTACAATTCCGACTGTCTCCTTTGCTCTCTCCTCTTCCTTGCTTTGCAGCCCCAGATGACACCATTCTGATTCATACCCCTTAGCCCCACAGTACCTGGATGGTATATAACAGCCAATCCACATCCTAAAACACCTCAGATGGTCTCATAGGGAGAGTGCCAGGAAGCAGGAGCGGTGGGCAGGTGAGTAGGAACTATTTGGATTCACACCATAAGAAAAAAATATTTCCAAGACAGAGCCCTTAGCCCTCACTCAAGACACAGTTTTAAGGAAAAGGCCAATCTCCATACACAAAAAACAAGTTCACTTGTAACAGTAGCTACTGCTTACTACACTGGCCACTGGTGGCACAGTGGTAAGGAGCTGCACTGCCAACCTGAACACACGCTGTTCGACTTTACCAGTTGCTCTGCAAGAAAGATGGACAATCTCTTTCTGCCTCTGAAAACCCACCGGAGGGTCAGCAATGGGTCGGTTCTGACTACAGTGTTTAACAAATACTGACTACATGACAGGCCTCACCATCAATCCACCCTATAGTTTTTCTTAATTTCATTTTGCGGGGAGCCTGTGGTGACACAAGAGGTGATGGAGCCGGTTCTGAACACAGGCACAAATACCTGACAAAGCCTGTGCTCTGGACCCTTGGACAGCACTGCTCCCCCCTCTAGAGCCATGTCAGTCCCTCATGAACCCTGTTGCCCAACGCAAATCCTGAAGTGCACTCGTGCACATAGGCACAGCCCCGGCTCAAGCCGCCAGGGCCCACTGCTGCGCTGCTGGAACAAACAGCCTTTGTCTCTGGCTCAGCTTCTGGGCACAGCACTCGTGGTTGTGGCTGCCCTAGCAGGGGCCAGGGGAGGGACATGAGATTCTGGCTCTCGGGGACTTTAAAAGGGGCCCAGAAGCAGCCCGTCCCCAAAGGCTTGGCCTGAGCAGTGGCTGCACACACTGGACTTAAGAAAGGAGAAGCTGATGTCACTAAGGAGCAGTTGGCAGAGTGGTTAATAAGGAACAAGAAGAGACAGGCCATGGCAAGTCCCTCCACCTCACGGGACCAGGATGGGCCAGTCTTTTCCCCAAATCTGGAGCAAGGCTCTTAGTCTTGCTGCCTCAGAAAGAGAGCCTCTTCACACAAATGTAGAGAAAAGGGGCTCAGAGGCCTCCGACAGGCAACAGCCACAAGCGTCAGGAGATGGTTTCAGGGGCACAGACCTGCCAACTCTGACAGCTGTTTGCTGGATAAACTTAGGTGAGTGAGGTTTGTTCACAGAGCCATTCTGCATAGTTGTTAAAGATCAGAAATAGTAATAATATACTGGGTGCTTGGCAGGGAGGAAGGTCTTAGCAGCTACTCTCATTTTTCTGGGGCCAAGCCTGCCCCCGGCCCTCTCTTCACATGATAACCCCAACAAGAAGTCACCAAAAGAGCTCTGAATCACTGTCAGCTCAGGGGTCAAACGCTACCCAGGCGCTGACTGTGAAAAGAGACGTGACCCTATTCACAGAGTCTTTTTCCATCTGAGGAAAATCAGCCATCAGGCTTTGGGTTCCAGCTGTCAAAAACCAAAAAACTGAGAGGCACCATGGCCTATTTCAGGAAAACCACAGCCATCAAATGTGCACCCCTCCAAGCTGGCTGTAAGCACCCTTCCAGGCTGACAGGCTCCAAGATATCGATCCTGACCCATCTGTCTTCCTGGGTTCATTGTTGGAAAGAGCTGTGCACTAAGGACAAGCATTTGGTCAGTGTCACCAGGGGTGCTTTAAGCAGCAATCAACACCTTCTTTTTCAATGTGTATTAAGTCATTTATTTCTCAAGATGTGCACACTCAAGTATTAAGTTGGCCAGGACAACTCATGGCTCCTAGGTATGTACAGGTCCTTTGACAGCTGGGGTTACAACTTCATAGCTAGTGTACCACACACACAAGATAAAATAGGAAGCCTAAAACCCCCAAGCCACTCCAAGGGAAACTGAGGGAAGAAGGGAGTTGGGGGTGTAATGCAGCATCCGTTTTGGGGGGGGGAAATCAATGCACAAGGAGGGAAGAACACAGAGGGATGGAAGTCAAGCTCGCACCGATCTTCATCAATTGCAGTGTTTGTGTGGAGGATCAGGGGATTGAGTTCAACAGGTCCTTCAGGAAGCTCTCTGGATCATTGATTTCTGATAAAAGGCCTGGAAGAGAGAGCAAGCAGAAGTTGGTTAGGAGCTGGCATGCACAATCCCCAGCCCCACTGAGTCACAGCTGCCGGATCCACCAAGAACACACTGTGCTCCGACAGGCTCCAACACAGCTGCCTGCTGAAACATCACAATGACTAGGGATGCAGTCATCAGAGAAACAGCCTCACTCTCTAAGAGGATGGAAGTCCTGTCAAGGGATCAGGCAATGTTTGCGATAAAGGCACTAGAGTGGCAGATGTCAACCTGATGACCTCCCTAGAGCAGTAGTTCTAAACCCAGCAGGGAGCCTGCAAGTCCACGGGAACGAGGTGCAGAATGGAGAAGAGGAGGAGGGGTGGGGACCCTGGAGAGAGAGCATCCACAGCTCTCATCACGTTCTCAAAGGGGCCAGGGACCAAGGAAATGTTAAGAGCCACGGCCCCCGAGGGCTAGGAGGAGCAGAGTGAGAGAGCAGGACCCGGATTCATCTGAATTTAGATCCTATTACAGTTCCTGGAGCCTTGAATGTGCCAAAGCATTATTACATCCCATTTCCTCAACTGCAGGCAGATCCCAGGTTATGATGGAGTTCTGCCCAAACAACTCCATCCTAAGTTGGTTCTGCTGTTCATTACATACCTCATTTTTTTGGTTTTCATTTTTAGTGCTTTGTAATATTAGTATCTTTACAAACAACACTGAACATCTGCAAGTAAGTAATGATAACCTCAGCAAATTACGCACTACAACACTAAGTAGCATGCATAATAACAATACAACGTGCAACAAAGCACTACAGACAGTTGTTAAATGTGGCTCCTCAAAACCTGAGGATGTCTTAAGTCACAGATGACCTGTATAAAACGAGGACAGTGGCACATCCTTGCTGTGCGGCCGCAGGGATAAAATGAGGCAATGTACGTGAGAGTATCAAGTGCAGAGAAGGTATTCAGTCAGCATCAGGTGTTACCTCTCCAAGTTGGTGCTAAGTCTTCCCCTGCGGCCAGCCCCCAGCACTCACCAAGTAGGGCACAAGCAGACTAAAGTCTCGTGCTAAACAAACATGGGCTGGTAATCCTGCAAGCCTGGCAACATTTAAACTGGAGCCATCTCCCAAGCATCTGTACTACTGGAGGGAAGAGTGGCAGTGATCATCTCCTGCTGGTGTTGAATCCTGCTGAGTGTTTTGTTCTTGTATTTGAATAGGGTGTGTCTGATGTTAGAAATTTTCTAATGATTTAAACAAAGTCATAAAAGTTATGCCCAGGTAAAGCAACCCCCAGGCAGACTCCCTGTCTCCTGAAGGTGCCCCTTCTCTCTCTTCATGAGGGTGCCTGGCCCACTCCAGGCTGATGCAAAGCCCTGAATCTTCCTTCTCCCATCACCTTTTTCTAACCACAATTCCACATTCATGCTGACACGTCATTCTGATCAGCCACCACATCCCTGGGTGACAGGCACAAAGCTGAAAATATAGAGACAAATAAAACAAACCACTTGTTCTCAATCAGGAGAAACTTTCCAGGAAGAAAGCAAAGTATGAAGCTAAGGTACGAAGGTTGTTAAATGGCTAGGCTGAGAAGACACACAGGAGTGGTAAAGCTAACAAGAAATGCAAATGAGCAGTGTCAACTTGACCTTCCAGGCAACAGGGCAGGTGCCAGGCTAACCAAGGCCTATGCCAACACACTGCATCTGCTGCGACAAAGGCAAAGGTGGCCACAAAGAGTCAAAGGCAGAGGTCCCAGAGTTCTCTGGAGGTTGGTGCTGAGCTGGGAGAAAAGAGAAAGTACCCTGGGCTTCACTCCGGCCCTGCTGTGGGTTTATTCCCATGGGGGAAGGAAACTGTCAGGAAAGTATTACTGAAAGCTTTCTTAGTGCAAAGTAGGGGAGATTTTTCCTGTCTTGACACCTCACAAAACTCCTACAATGAACATCAGGGAAAAGTGAACCAGATGATGGGAACTCTGCGGCTGTTTTGGGCAACTCTATCGGGGCCGCACTGAGCAAGGGCTCAGGAACCAGTGCCCACAAACAGAGAGGGCACTGAGTATTCATTCTGGGAGGGTTTGCTCAGGAATGAGCCCAAGTCACTTCCCTCTGTTGTCACTCGATGCTTGGTTATGAAATCCAAACACATTTTAATGTGTTTGTAATAAGGATAACAGATTGGTTATACAAAGCATCTGTACACAGGAGAGAACAATGAGCTTCATTTTACTACTGTGGGATGAGAAACTGTCTGGAGTCTTCACATGACAACAGCTCCAATTATTGCTTAGCTCTCTCTTCAGATTTACGGATCAACTAGGGGTGGCTGTGACATAAGTGGTCTCAGGCCCCAAGAAGAGGAAGACAAGTGAGCTCAAAGACTGAGCATGCCCATTTGAATGTCAATTATCTGAACTAGCACAAAAAAGCTAGGAATTAAAAAAAGGTATGTGTCCCTGGCAACTTAAATCTTCAGAGCCTCAGTTCCTCTATCTATTAAATGGGGATAATTAGAATTCCTACCTTCTGTAAGCGAGAAAAGAAACAGTGTGGGCTGGGAAGGAGTTAAGTAGGCAAACATGTTAGTGCTGCTGTTACTATTAGCGGTTTGACAGTTCAGCACCTTTCCAATCCCCATAGAGGCAGCAAGTAGGCTGGTTCTCACCTGTACTGCTTCTAATATGTGAAGATGAAAGCTATCAGCAGCCTGACTAATACAGATGTGGGGCTCTGCAGCAGGGAATCTCTGAAAGACAAAATCTTTACACTGACCAGCTGCGTCGAGGAACTCTGAGAAGGTCTCCACTGGCATGAACTCCTCCTGGAAGGTTTTCAGAGCTTTGTCAGCAGCTTCATAGATGGGCATGTCGTTGTGGCGGATGTATTCAGCTAGAGAGCAGGACCAGCCTCCCTCTGTGTTACTGGTAGGCACCTTCTACAAGAACCAACAAGAGACAGGGCAGGGAGGTAGGTTACATAATGCTGGCTCTTCTTGTGCCTCAAGTCAGCAGGCAGTTTCAATCCTGAGGAAAACCAAGCCTCCGCCATGACATCAACATTCTTCCTACAGGATGTATTTTTCATTTCCAAACAGCACAAAATTTCCTTGCATTATGCAGTTTTGCCCAAACCTATAAGCTGTAAGCAACTCTTTTCTGTTCCTTACATTTCATGCCTGCTTTTCTCAATGTAAAGAGAATTAACAACATGCTCCATTTGAGCTGTTTCATTCAGAGAGTATAAACATGACTATTCAAAACACTAATTCTTTCAAGGCCGAAAGGAGTAGTCTAAGTAGGATTAGAGCACGTCACACTGCAAACAGTGGGGACAAAAGCAAACAAGTGGTGACTAGGGAGGGACATTCCTCTGGTAGAAGTGGATTTGAACCAGGCTTGACACCATTCAGCAGCAGTGCTCTTAGCTTCAATGGACACCAGAGAGATAAAATGGGACTGGTTTGATCCCCTAAGAATTTGCCTTTCCAAGGAGCTCTGGTGGCCTAGTAGCAAGAAGTTGCACTGCAATCCTGAAGTACACGGTTCAAATCCACCAGATGCTCTGCTGGAGAAGGAGGGACAATCTCCTGTACCAGTGAGATCCAATCTGATAGTACACACACACACACAGACAAAATAATAAAATGTAAAGAAAAAATTTTGCCTTTCCACTCAAGATAAAATGAAGCAAATCCTCCAGTTTGACAAGATTCCCAGGTAATTCATATAGCATCATTTGTGAGTGACCTGGCTCCAGGCCTGGCTAACAGTAAAATCCCTTCCCAAGCGAGGAACAAAACACCCCAGGTGCCGGAGCAGGGGAAAAGAAGCTAGCAGTGCATATTACTGTCCGCCCTCACAGAGACGAGATCCCTTACCTTAAACATGTTGTAAATGAGATCAACTAGGGCCCAAAACAGAAGGGAAGAACGGTAAGCAGAGTAGTCCTTCACAGCCTTATCTGTTAACCTAGAAAAGAGAAGCAAATTTCATCTCCACGAAGACTAGAAGGATCCTGTTGAGGTCAGAGCAAAGTATCCTGTGTTTCCAGGGAAAACTGACCGTGTACTGTGCATCACATAGTCCTAGAACTTGCCTATCTTCCTGGGAAAGCAACAGTTGTAGGGAAGAAACTCGGAGCCCTAGGATGCAGTTGCTTATTACAAAAGTGTTCGATGTAATATTAATATTCCTTTTTAACGTGGGCTCTCTTTCAAATCAGGGTTAAAAAGAATGGGGGAAACACAAATTGCAATATGGCAATGGAACAGCCAATCATCATCCTGGCTGAATGAGAACTGATGCACTAGGATAGAACCCAGGGGATTTGTTTTTAAAAAGCTTTTTTTTTTGCTATGAAATTTACTTAAACATACTACCATTTGCATTTAACTTTATTTTGCAAAATACCTCCTCAAAGTGTTAGTACTTTTCATTTGCTTATAGTTTTGAATATCAATGGCAATACCTTTAACAGGAAAACATCAAGGTTTGCAACATCATTTGTACACTTTAAGAAATATAGCTGTCAGTTCTGATAATACAAGCAAATGATCTTTTTAAATATAGCAAAACTTATATAGCAATTTCTCATAAGATATAAGTTATATATTATGGGAAGGAAAATAAAAAGGCCACTCACTGCCTTCAAGAAAGGAACTGTGCTTCCCTTGTGCTTAGTGCCCACACAATCTCTCAGACTAAACGATGTCTGATAAATGAATCAAGACAATTTGTCTTGACATTCCCACCTGGAGAATTTCTGTAAACTGTCAACAGACCTAAGCCAACCAAACACAGTAATTTGTCAGACAGACGTTGTGTCAAAATACAGCAAGCTGCTGGAAAACTGGTGTTGAGCAATGGAAACCTCTAGCATGGAGTCTGTTACCACCCAACACCTCCTAAATCCTGGCATAATCCCAGAGCGGTCCACCACACCTGTCTCTAGCCAGTATCACCTCTAGTTAATCCAATGATTCAGCTCAGAATTCTGTCAAGTGAAAACACTGCATTCTCAGTAGACACCCTGGGTTTGGGGAATGATTATACCAAGTAGAGCCACCAAGAAATTTTAAAAGTTCCAATTCCCCTGTACAATGTGCAAACAGGTATCTAAATTCCATCTCTACTACCCAGGTTTTGTTTGTTAACTGTCCTAACATACTTAAGTAAGCAAGTGAAGATGAAATAAACCTTCACCATGACTGCAAAGACTGAAGTTTATCTTTAAAATGTGTGTAGGTGCTTGTGTATACACATAAGAACCATAAAAATAAGCTAGGTATAGGTTATTATTTATTATCACATATAATTTAATTTTAACATTTTAATTTGGCAATTAAAATTATTTCATTTTAATAAATATTAACAATAAAATTATTTCATCTTTGTTGTTGTTATGTGCCGTCGAGTCGTTTCCGACTCATAGCGACCCTATGCACAACAGCCCTAAACCCTGCTCTATCCTGCGCCAACCGTACCGCCTCCGACACACCCATCCCGATTACCCCAGTCACCGAATCAATCCATCTCATAGAGGGTCTTCCCCTCCTGCGCTGTCCCTCCACCCTCCCAAGCATGATGTCCCTCTCCAAGGACCCGTCCCTCCTGGCAACATGTCCAAAGTATGTCAGACGAAGCCCCAGAATCCTTGCCTCCAAGGAGTAGCTTGGTTGAATCCTCTCCAAGATGAATCTGTTTGTTTTCCTGGCAGTCCATGGTACATTCAGTACCCTTCTCCAGCACCACAGCTCAAAAGCATCCACTCTCCTTCTGTCCTCCCTAGTCATTGTCCAACTCTCTGATGCATAACAAGCGATTGCAAAGACCATGGCCTGTATCAGGCGCACCTTATCTTAGAATATTATTTATTACAGAAACTAAGGGCCTCAAAGGAAGGGCTTGTCTAGTACAGGACAGACAGGACAATTAATAAAAGTAATGTAAAACACTAATCAATAATAAAGTGAGAAAATTCTGTCTGTTAAAATATACTCCCCATGACCCTCTATCCTTTCCACCTTCCATTAAAGCATCTATTTTCTCCCCTGCCTATTAAGAGAGGAGGACAGTGCAGTCCAAGATGAAAATGACAATCCATGGGCCCTGCTGATGAGGAGAATCCATTTTTTACAACCCTGAATGCTTGCAGGTAGCAGGCAAGACTCTTAAGTCTAGCGGAAGTCCTAGGTTTAAGTATACAAAAACTCCTGACACAGGAACCCTTCTCCGTAAACCAAGACTTCAGCTCTCTTGTGCATATTTTTGGAGCTAGATTTTTAACTATCTACTACAGTCTTCCTCCCTATACTTTACCAGATTTAAGATTAGCTGCCAGTGACACTGTTCCAACCATCAGAATGACAGTTACTGAATGGCCTCTCCTTGAGAGGCCCAACCAAGCTAACTCTCAGCACTCGTCTGTTTCACGAGCGCCAGGTTTACACCCTCACCACCTCACCTCCCAACAAACGCCAACTTTTGCCCTTCACTGGAGGTTCTTGGTGTTGGTAAGCAGGCATCTGGAGCGATCCTCCCAATTTAATTATTTAAAGCTAATTAGTAAAGGTGATGACTAAGCTGCTAACAAGAAAATGGTAACTCATGAGTCTAGCTCACACTAAGTTTCCTAATTATCAGCTGTGACCAAATCGGCTTTTGCTTAACTGCCCAGGAGAAGTAATAAATTCTAGCCTCTTAATTGAAAGAAAAACAGCTCCTGTGGGTTCAGATTTCACAGCTGCCATTGCAAGTCTGTGCCCCAATAAAGAGCCACTTTTTTGGCTATGGGTACAGGCACAATCTGACTTACCAACAACTTGATATCCTCCAGATCTAACATTTGATCGCGAGCTGCTAATTTGCCAATAATGGTTTGGACTCCTGGGAAATACTGAACAGTTTTACATGTTTGGAATAAAGGCAGGAATGAAGTAGGGCTCTAACAAGAGAAGCTCCCTCTGACTCTCCACAACAAGCTGACCACGGCTGGCTTCCACAGAAGAGCTCCTCCAGGGGATTTAGGAGCCTATGGACTAGCAACACTGGATGCTGAGCTGAGGAGGGGAAATATACCAGAGGTGCTAACTCAGGCACAGGGCTGTCCCATTTGGTTCGTCACTATAATGGGCTAAATTCCTTCCTCTCATTCCCTTGCAGGCCCTTGAACACAGAAATGTTTCTTCTGATGCTAGGCTAAAGGATATCTGGCAGGTTAGTCACAAGGGCAGATTTTTCCAGAAATTAACTAACCCTAAGTCTCACTCAAGTGGCAAGCTGGGAAACCCACTCTTACTCTGCCCCCTCCCCTAGGCAGACACAGCTCAGGGCCACTGTCAGCTACTTGTGGCACCTACAGAGCCCATGCTCAATCAGTGGGGATATAGTTATCTCAAAAAAGGCTGTTCTTTTTGTTTGCAGTTGTTTCTCTCAAGATAACTTCTCATCTGACTCAAATCAGGGAAAATGGAGCTAGATGAAGAAAGGCTCACAGGACAGACAGCAGGGAATGCACCTGAGAAGGGAGAATAGCAGGCTCTTATATAAAAAGAAAATGCCCATCTCTGTCATATGGAAGCTTTCCTAGTTTATCTCAGGAATGACAAGATTCTGAAAAACTAGTTCTCTCTCTTAGTCTCCTGCCAACACAACTCTCATGTAAGGAGTTCTGGTGTAGTACATGTCGGGCTGCTAGCTGAAGGTCAGTCGTTCAAACCCACCAGCTGCTCCACAGGAGAAAGATAAGGCAGTTTCCCAAAAAGACCTCCAGCCTTAGACAGTGGGCGGCCATGAGTCAGAATCAGCTTAATGGCAGCAAGAGGAAGTATCTTTCACAGCAGCATTTTGATGACATACTTCATTTTATTTCACTTTGCTTTACTGAGTTTTGAAGATAAGAGGTTTAAAAAAAAAACCCAAAAACAACAAATCACATTGGAGGTTTGTTACAACCCTGTGTTTAGCAAATCTAACAGCACCATTTTTCCAGTAACACATGTACACTTCATGTCTGTTATTTTGACCACATGCTGCACACTTAATGGAAAACAAAAAAATGGCATTTTTTACTGTGATATTAACTTGACTGCTGGTCTGCAGCCAAACCTACAATATCCCTACGGTATTCCTTTACTGAGTTGAGTGAACATTCCTTCACATAGTACATGTGCACTGCTAGGCAGCTTTTCAATTCAGAACACACACTCCAGGTAGTAGATACTGACCTTGTGGCTCCCCCTGGAGCCACTGCCCGGGCCTGAGAGGTCACCAGCAGTCTCCGCAAGATTTCCACACGTGTGGCTTTCCACTTCTCAGGAGGCAGAATGTGGAGGGCCAGGACTGTGAAATAGTGGGGCCCATCCACTTCAAAGGCACTCTCCACCCACTTCTCCTTGGGCTGCTCTAGAAAGCCTTGGAGGTTCTTCTCCTCTCGAGAAGTAGCTCGGGTTCTAGAATGAAAGAGGGAACAATGAAACCAGAGTAGAAACACAGCATGAGCAGCAAGAGGGAAGCAGGTTTGCTCAATGGCACTGAATGCTAAGGTCACTAAAAATGCCCCTCCCTATCCCAGCCCTGAATCTTCCTAGCCCTTCGGTAATCCATGGGGAACTTCCCCTTCCATTCCTTCTTCACAGCATCTTCCTTGCTCTCCTCGCTTCACTCGCCACCTCACACAATTCCAAACAAGCACTGCTCCTTGAGCACCCGTTTATGTGTCATGCAATGAGCCAGGTACCGTCACGAGCCCTTTCTCAGGTAAAACCTTTGCCATGTTGAATGACTGTGGTTAACTAATTCTACCATGGTATCCAAGACCCAAAAGGGGAAGTGACTTAATCACCAATGACACCCCTCTAGTGAGTGATGGAGCTGAAATCTCCATGAAGTCTTTTTATATTTAAGTTGTGTTTGTTCTACTTCCGCATTTTGATGCCTTTCCTAGTTTTTCTAAATGGTTTTCTTGTGCCCTTCTCTTAATGAAAACAATTTTTTCCAAGCTACACCTGTTTATCTATATTCTTTCTCAAATGCAATGAAAAGTCCCATGAAAAACTGCCATTACCCTCACTCAGTCCTCATGTGAATAAGCTCACCCCCTTCATAAACAACTTGACTGGGGAGGCAGTGTGTGACTGAAAAATATACCTCTATGAAACTTCCAGACCAACTTCTTCACTGACCAACATAATTATTATGTAAATGTCTAGCATTTGAGAAGCACAGTGTCACCTGAAGTCACCATGTCTATTCTTACAGAGAGAGCTAATCATCCTTCCTCAATGTGTCTGCTGTTCTGGGAGAATAGAGGAGTCCACTCTATCCTACAGCAGCCAAGAAGGGGCATGTCTTTGAGAAAACCAAGGGCTCTACCGAAGGCCACAAGCTCACTGGTCACAAGTGCTGGCGCGGGCTGAGGTGGTTTGGGAAAGCAGGAAAGTTTCTGTTGTCAACATTGCCAGGTGTGTGCTATGACAGTATGAATGTTTAGCAGATGATGTAATGCACTCTGAGAGAGATCTGTCCGTGTGTTTTAACAATGAAGCATGAGGTCTTGAGGTTGGCCATTTATCTCATAAGGAAATCAGGAGGGGAAAAAATAATACTGTTAAAGAAGAAAGAAGACAAGAGATAGATTGTCATGCTGCCTAAACTGAGCTGCCTGTGTGTGCCATACACAAGCTGGGGGAAAACCTGTTGGTTCTCTGACCAATCCAATTGTTAACGCTACTGTTAAAAGAGGAGGTGTCTCACAAGTAAGACTACCTCAGTCAAATCTAAGTGTATTAAATCGCTAAAATTGCTTTTGAAATTTAGAGTAGAATTAATAATCACTATTTTCTGCCCTCAAGGGCTGGTGGCACAGGGTTTAAATGACTACAAGCTGAAAGGTCTATGGTTGGAACCTACTAGTGAATCAGTGGACATCTACTTCTGCAATGATTACAACCTTGGAAACCCTTCAGGACAATTCTGTTCTACAGGGTCATTATGAGTTGAAATTGACTCGATGGCAATGACTTTTGGGTTTTTATTCTAGATTGTCCTAAAATGGTATCATTTACCTGTTACCCTAACTATTTTACAATGTACACATGGCTAAAAAGACAAATGTAATTTTTTCTGGCTGTCTTCTATCGCAGTTGACTCTCCCAGATAGTCTTCAATACTCTTTTTCCCTCATGCACTTGTCAGAACCATGACTCACTGGAGAAAACAGGGTAACGCATCCAGTATTCTATTTACAAAATGGACCTTAGTTCCACTGCAGCCTCTTAGCGTGAAATCTTCACCTGTAATGGCTTAGCTCTGACCCAGGGCCTCCCCCAATCCATCCAAGGGAACAGAGTAGAAACATGGATGGTCTAGTTTTTCCCTGCCTGCTCGCCTTGAGCTCAAAATCAGTTCAAGAATGTAGTCTTCAGCTGCCCAAGGTGAGAGATGAGAGTTTAAATGGGAGTCACTCTTCTTGCTTTACTCTGTATGACTCAAAAAAAAGTCATAGGTGGCTGTCCCTCTCTTGGTAAGTCTGCCTTGGGTCACATTTTTGCTCTGGCACTAGCCAGAAAGGATACAGAATTTCTGGGAAATCTTGTGGACAGAGGGGTGGAGTGTGGGTCAGCTGCAATGCTGCCCTCTAGGTACTGACGTGTTCAGGACGTAAAGCACAGTGTGAATGATGTACGGGATCAGGTGGATGTTGCTCTCCCGGCCACCCCCACCAGTGTCCGCACTGAAGGATTGCTCCATGGCAAAGCGCAAGAACAGTAACTTGATGTCATGGATGTTGAGCTGGTACGTGGGTTCCCGCTGGCCTGTACATTCCTGGAGGTAAGTGTTGTGTCTAGGACAAAGCAAAACAAATATTAAGATGGAAAAAATGGAACTGATTCCTTGGGGGAGACATTATTTGGAGAACAGGGTCCCACTCTGTCCTGATTTATGCAAACCCAAATGAAAGGGTATCAGAATAAAAGACAGAGTGATGGCACTGAGAGGAAGGCAACCGCAGAGGGCATGATAGCCCCAAGTTTGTTTTGTTTTTAGCCCCAAGTTTTTATGAGAGAACCTACTTCGGAGGGAAGCCCATTTCATGATGGACATACTATAATGTCATCTGAAAGATAATTCTCATAATTTTGGAAAAAGAAATGTAGAATGAATCCATTCTGGCTGATGCAGTGATCCATTCCTAAGAATCATCTCTTTGACCTTCAAAAAGGTTATTTTATGTCACTATATCTTACCATCTATGTGAACCACGACTCTTACTATCTGTGCCTTATCTCTTCATCCATAGGAAAAAAGCATATAGTAAGCATTCAAACAGGTTGCCTATTACCATCATTGTTATTATTGTCAGATAGTTGTTTTATGATATATTACTTTTCATCCTTGAGTTAAGTAGAAGTTGGGGCAAGAAACCACCATGCAGGGATATCAGCAAGGGATGAGGACTTCATATAGTCTGAAATTACTCTAACCTATATCTTTAGGACCGGGTAGGCCTTAAAAAAGATTCCATGCCACAAAGTCATTCTCATTATTTTAACCTCAGAGCCATATATTGCAGAAGAGAACTCTGGGAAATTCTGGTCCAAAGGACCAAGTCAGAGATGCCGTGTCTTACTTCACAAGGTCAAAGGAGAAGAAATAATGAATACCCTGAAATTTTATGTGACATACTAGAAGCTGAGGTACTGACTTTTCTCAGTCTGTGAAGAGACCTCATCAGGCCATCATTCTGCAAGTCTCCATCCCCCCTGCTGAGCCCGTATCTGCTCTGACAGCGCCCCAGTCCGCAAACAGACATAAACTCCGGTTGCAGGTGACAGGAAATGGCTTTACCATGTGCTGGATTGATGGTTGGTCTTTCCTCACCTCCTGAGAATCCGTTATTTTACCATGCAAAATGCATAACACTCACCTTGCCAAACAAGTGGCAAAAGCTGATTCAGGGACATGGGGCCCCCAGACTGGAAGAAGCCCATTGCACTTAGTGTTAGCATTCTGAAGGGCGGCACTTTCCCACTCTTCCCTGCCTCGAGCCAACCTGGATTGGGAGGAACGCAAAGACAAGTGACTGCTGGAATTAATTTGGCAACTAGGCACCTGGATGAGAGGGGGTGGAGAGCAAACACTAAGGAGGTAAGTTAGTCCTTGCTCTTGACCCCACAGAGAATATTAACCATTCTTAAGCTGGCAAATACTGGATTCACAAAGTCAAGCAAACAAGATCTCTTTCAACAGCAGTGTGCCAAAAGCTACAGCATATTTTCTTAGCCAAAAGGCAGGAGTATTTCTTGTGATTATGTGAGTTAGGGCAGATACAGAGACTAAGGAACAGATTTAAAGCCCCAACGCAGGACATCTACTTCCCAACTCCAGTACCTTGGACAAGCTGCCCACCCTTCTGAAGTAACCAGAGTCTAGTCTTCTGCTTGGTAAGGCTGGCATGAGCTGAAGCATGTAAGAGGAGGAAGGGAAGCGTGGGTGAGCAGAGCCTACCTGACAGCAGCTAGGTGGCAATCATAGTGCACAATGTTGAAATGGGACACAGTGCTATAGCCCTGCTGTTTCCGGGGCTTATTCTCCAGCTCCTCCAAGGCGACTCGCTTAGTGAAGGTGTAAATACCCAGGACCTTCGTGGGCTGCCAAAACAATGACATAAAAAGGAAAAAAGATGAGGGAAAAGTCTGACAGGCTTCAGGAGGAGGGGATACAGACGAGAAGAAAATGTCTACCTTCCTAGATAGAAAGTTGAAATTTTTTTGTTTCCACTAGGAATGTACACAGGAGTATGAGCACTGCTCCCACACCTAGTCTACTGGCTGAGACCTGGGTTAGGCACAGCTCTGGGGAAAAACAGAGTGTGGGGAGAAAGCAGAAAAGAAACAGATGACAGGCAGATGAAGAAACTGAAATGTTAGCCTAAACTATCTTCTTTTTTGCTGAAAATGTAGAAGAAAGTGTCTTCCTGATATGTTACTTGCTTTGTCAACTTGTCAGAGAGCTCCCAGGAGCTCGAGTTCCCGGGCTTGTGACCAAGGAAACTGCCCCTTTACTAGCTTGGGTGCTAAGTAGTAAATTCATGCTGAAGAGGAAGAGGGGCTGCCTTCTTAACTTTTGAGTGAGCACACAGTTCACATCTGTTGTGTTCCCTTCGGCTATAATCTAGTTTGATAAAGCCTAAAAAGGTACTTGTCTTCTTCCAGTGATACTGAATGGAACCAGTCTAATGCCAGAGAGGCTTGGGATTAAATCCTGGCTTTGCCATGAGATTTTTTATTTTTTTTTTTCTCTCATCCATAAACTGGGGCTTATTACAGTTTTGAAGATAAAAAATATTCAGTTTACATAAAGTTATGAGCATGGGACCCAGCACACTGAAGGGCTCGTTTAAGTGGTAAATGACAACAAGATGATGATAAAGAAGACTACTGTTCAGATAACACTGCCTTCCTGCTTTTCACTGATCTCAAGCACAGCTACTACGACACAAACTTCGACGCTGGCTGAAATGCACACAAGGAGCCAGGCTGAGGCAGCTGGCACAAGTCCTCAGAACCAACTCTCCACCCGGTAGCCATACCTGGAACTTGTAGCCCTCCCGGCAGATGCAGCACGTGAGTCCGGGCTCCTCAATCAGCTCTTCCATCTGCTTCAGCAGCGCCGTCTTGGTCACAACCTGGCCCTTTTCGTTGGTCTATAGAAGAAACCCAGTTGGCATGTCAAGATGGGATTTCCACCACCCTCCCACCTCACTAAGGGTTGCTCAGGCACAGGGCTGGCCTTCGCCACACACTAAAAAGACTGATATACTGGAAGGAGACCTCTCTAGTTGGTTTCTAAGGAGGGCAAAGTGTTTGCATTCCAAGCCCCGGATTCTTCTGATGCGTTCATCTTCCTGCAAATATCACTGCAGGAGAGGAAACCATGAAGCTAGAAGCCCAGTTCATCACCACTTGCCATTAGGCAAGCCCTCCTTCTTTGTGCCAGCAATACCAAGCTTGGGCTGCCGAAAGCTATTGCAGTGGGATTCGTTTACCGTTCTTATGGGAGTTTAGAACTGCTGACACACAAATGTGCTGGTCTGGAGAAGGTTGTTTTAAGACAACCATTTCCTCCAAGATGAGACAAAAGAGCACAGACACAGGTTCAAAATCCTGTCAACTACTTACTAGTTACATGCCTTGACCTATTTGCCTCTCTTAGCTTAATTCACCTGGAAAATGGGAAAAATCGTATCAACCTTTTAAAGCCACTGAAGGGATTAAACAGTACAAGCAAGGGGCATAGTGTCTAGCATACAGGAAATCCTCAGTAAGTAAGTTTCTTGCCATTCTTAATGTAAAGTTAATACATGAACTTAAATCACTCACCCTCTAAATCTCATCTATACACCAAAACAATGGAGAGACCCTAATGGTACAAAGAGTTAACATACTTGGTTGCTAAGTGCAAGTACCAAGAAGTGACGCAGAACAAAGGTCTAACAAGCTGATCTGAAAAATCAACCAGTAAAAAAGCACAGTTATACTGACACATACGGGGTTGCCATGACCTGAAATCATTTTCCAGCAACTGGCTCATGATGCTGGGAAGCTAAGGAAGGTAAAGTGTCTGGCCCAGTGCCAAGCACACCTGCTATACTCCTCCTCTGTACAGCCTTCCCGTTCACCATCCTGAAGCACAATCAACTGCACCATGGCCACCTCTTCATCAGTGGTAAATGAACAAAAGGAGACAAGGTGGTTTTGGTTTTACCGTCATGCCCAAGGTGCCCAGAGCCTTCTGCCTCATCGCCATGGCCATGCGCTTCTTCTCGGCCCGGGTCTCCCTGCGGGCTGCATCAATCTTCTTGTTTACATCAGGGTGTTCCCGCAATGCCTCCAGCAGGTTCTCAGCCAGGGTCCCAATGCCCTCGTCACTAGATACCTGCTCCAGCTTGTGCAGGTTTGTGATGGAGTCAGTTCCAATTAGAACCTGCCAACAAGAGACCAGTGGGATGTATGCCTCCAAGTATATGGATTAGCATTCTTCCCAGGAACTGAAAGGTGTAGCAATATCAACCAAATGTCATCATGTCATCTGCTCAGTTTCAATCAGATCCTTTGATTCTACACTTTGATAGAAACACACAAATGGAAGAGGCTTTGGCTCTGCCACTGGTCACTGACTAAGGACAATGCTCTTTAGCATCTGAATCCCCATCTATACTTGAGAGATGATGGGAGGGTTGCTGTGATGATAAAAACACATAAAGCATCTGGCACAGGCAAGTGACCAGGTGCAGAAGAGACCTGGGAGAAGTAATATATGATGAGGTCTGAACAGAGAAAGGAGTACAGACCGGCAGACTCTGGTTAATAAGAGGCTGTCCCAAGTCCTTCCTCTCGGAGCCTCTAAGCCCATTATATCCGAGAGCACAGGAATTTTCTCAACTTACAAGGTGCAATTGCCCCAAGCTGAAGGTGGGACTAGAAAAAGATTTATTTAGAAAGTTATCAATAAAGAACATTGTACTTGAGGTTGAAAATCACAATGCTTCCCAAATGTGGATGGAAAAAGATCACAATGTTTAAGGGAGGTGTAGTTTGAAAAGCTCTCTAGGTGAGCTCAATAAGAAATAAACAGAGGAACGCATTTGAATCTCCACATCCTCCATCACAAGGTAATGGAAGGCAACTGCTACATATGTGATATTAAACTGAAAATAACAAAGCTCAGCAGTCAACTTGGATCACTCATTAGCTCATAAATCTTTCTCACAGGACATTATACTCCCAATTTGCTCCTCAGCAGAATGACACGTTGTATCTTGCCCCTAAACACAGAATCTATATTCCATCACCTCACAGGCTTGCAAAAGCTGGACAATAAAAAAGGCGTTTCAGCCTAGCAGGGAGAGATGAGGAATGAGTAGCAGAAGAGAACAGGTGGGCATCCCTCAGAACAAAGTCCTCAGTTGACTGGGGCAGAGCAGAAAATGGTGCAGATGTAATTACAAATAGGGACTGAGGACAGAAATCAAAACTGCTTTATACTCGTCTTCTCAACTGCAGTTCAATTGTTGGTCAGCCGACCTAACTTAAAAACTGACAGAAGGAGGAAGCAACTAACTACAACTTACTTCTCATTGTTTACAGACAAATGAACTAGATGAGCCCTGTGATTCCCTATACTCTAGGAGTCTGCTATATTAAGGTTAGTCACATCTGAAGACTTACCCAGGTCACACATCCACTCAAGTCAGTGGGAGCTGAGAATAGGGCATGTGGTTCCTTCTCACCTCCTAAGGGTTCCCTATAGGCATGCTGACTCCTTACCTGGGTGGCAGGGTGTTGCATGGCCAGCCCTCGAAGAAGCCGCAAGATAAATGGCAGGGCTGGGCGAGACAAAAACTTTTTCCAGATGTCAGCATCCAAACTGCAAAGCAAAGGAAGGGTTTTTCAGCAGACCAGGGAAACAAAGGCTACCTGGAAATCATTTTTCCCTGTTTGGGGTCAAACTACTTGTTTAAACAAGGCTCTCTGAGAGTCCCTAAGAAATCACAGAAGGACCACCAAGACAAGAAACCTAGGTAGAAGCCTAGGTAGAAATACGGAGTCTAACAACAAACCAAAAAGATACTCTTTCCCATATCCCAGAAGGACTCTTGCAGTAGTTGTGTGGTTGGAGGATGGGGAATATGTGCAATGTTATGACAAGGGAAAAGGAAACCGGAGGGGGAAAAGCAGTCGCTCTAAGGGAGGGTCCTTACTTCTTGGCACTGGGGATATGCTTTTTCATATAGTCAAGGGCATTTTGGGTAATTCCCTTCTGGAGAATCAGATCCTTCAGCTGATGTCCATTGCTGTTGTTCTTGATGCCTGCTGCTATTTTACAGAAGCAATCAAGGAAGACTTTATCATCACCACTGTGATCTTCATCATACCTGGGGGGAAAGTGCAAAAAAGAGTCAGAAGGTATGAAAATAGCTAATCTCATCAATCTGATAGTTAACAATCTTCAATAGCCCATAGACCAAGTTCAAACTCTTTAAAGATGATATAAAAAGATCTCTGGCTCCTACTACTATCCCTTTCCTCTTTCTTACCAGTTAGGGTACCAAACTCACAATGTTCTCTTGCACTTTCAGGCTTCTGCACATGCCATGCCCCTATCTGAGCTTATCTCCTTCTCTCATAGCCAACTGCTCCCCATCGAGGCTGACCCTCTTAACAGATTGGAACTAGAACATAGTAAGTTTATTTTTTAAAAATCTAATAGAAATTCAAGTGATTCTTCCTTAGTCTCACAAACTAGTTCATGGAGACTCTCATAAGTTCACTGAATCCTAGCCACATACTTATCAAAGTTGCAGTATGGCTTGAATCGCTCCACCAGGATCTGCATTTTCTCCACCTCTCCAAAGGACAAGTACGGGATAATTCGGAGCAGGCCCTGGAGCACGCTAGGGTTGAAACGAACAAAGGTGCTGTTGATTTGGTCCAGGAGCATCACAAGCTGATCTTTGTCACCTGTCAGGAGTAGGTTGCTCTGCAACAGAAAATAGGAAGACCATTAATGAGGTCAGGACTTTCCTGCACCCAACTCCTCTGGCTCCTAAAGGTTATCCACTAACATCAGAGACATTAAAAATAGCCCAAGAAGAATTATGTCTTAATATTTCATAGAAAATAAACAGTGTGTGTTCCACTAGAAAAATCATTAAGCTCCTGTGATGTTGCTGTGTACTGTTGAGTCAGAACCAACCCATAGCTAACCTTCTAGCAGGCTGTCAGCAGCAGTAATCACATAGGAGGAGACTGCCCATCCTTCTTCCACAGAGCAGCTGGTGGCCTCGAACCACGTACCTCTGGGATTGCAGCACAACTTCTTGAAACGAGGCCACCAGAACTCCCTGTGCTAGCTCTGTTAATATTCTCAGGGAATCAAAGCATATCAATACAATTCCTTCCCTAAGAGAGAAGACCAACTAACATTCATTTCGCCTTACCTCTAGTCAGGAACACATTAGCACCTCCCAAAAGAATGAGGGAAGGCTAAGGTGGAAAGAAACTGAACTGGCAATTGGGTTTGCGACCAGATTCTGTCAGTAATCAACTATGTAATATTGGGCAGATACCTTCATTTCCCTAGGCTTGGGAGTCTCCCCAGTTATGAAATGAGGAGTTGGACTAAAGCTCCCCTCAGCTAGAACATGCCAGAATTCCATTAATGAGCTTCTCTGAGTGAAAGAGAATCTTTAGCAACTTTGTTTCTCCTGAATCCAAAGATTTCAGGCTTCAACAGAATGATGTCACCATTAGTTGAGCCATTAACTATGTGTACAGCAGTCTGATCATTTCAGTTGCACTAAACTAGACACAAACAAGCTTGGTGCTGGCAATGAGTCTGTCCATTCTCAGTGTTTCCAGGAAGATAAAGTGGGTCCCTACTCACCTTGTCTTCACTCAGGGGCTCAGCATTGGACTCATCCAGGATGATCTCCATGATGCTAAGCACTTGCTCAGCCACAGCTGCACCACCACTATCCTTGCTCTCTTGTTCAGCTACCAGCGCCTGTGGAAGGAAAACCAATCACTGGAGATAAAACCACAGCCTCTCCCTGCTGACAGGACAAAGCCTCACATGGTCTCAATTCCCAGAGACTTTTTTCAGTCTGTGTGTGTACATATGTACTTTTCTATTGGCATGCAATCTAGGCAGTTTTAGGGACTATCTTTTCTCTGGAATTAAGGAAACGGACCAGTAAGCTCATTGATTCAGTGACTGGGGTAATCAGATGGGTATGTCAGAAGCAGTGCGACTGGCACAGGATAGAGCAGGGTTTAGGGCTATTGTACATAGATAGGGTCGCTATGAGTCGCAAGCAACTCGACGGCACATAACAACAACAACAAGCTCAAAAATATGTTATGGAAGCAGCCTAGATGTGGGCCAGCCAGAGAAGGGACAGCCTGAATGATTTACAACTCTGCATCAGTCAGCTTAGGCAAATGAAGAGGCCACAAACTGATTTTATCTAAACCCAGAGTTTAGCATTCTCTCCCCAATAGCTCATTATCATTTGCAGCCCACATTCTTTACCAAGTTTAGCGTCCCCAGCATCACATTCAAAGTGTTCATTTCCAACTTGACCAGCTGTTGCCTGTTGACTTTCACCTTCACGCAGTAACTGAATAATTTCAGCAGCACCTGACAAAAAAAAGTTAGTCAAAACCCCCCCCTAAAAAAAAACACCTGAAAGCGTAAGAAGTGGGGACAAGCAAGAAAGAGTGTAGTAAGGGTCATCAGTAGATGCTGCCCCTGAAATGTGCAGAAAACAAGGGTAAGGTGTCCTTTGAGGGTATGGGTGGGATATCACATTAGGTTGACCTTTGAGTAATGGTCTGCAGAGGTAGTTCTCACAGCCTAAGTATGCTTCTAATTACTTCTAACAGCAGTGACACCAACCCCTAGTGGAATGGGTTGGGGGAATCCCAGGCCTAACACACAGAATTAAAGTACACAATCTGTGAGAGATCACTGTATGGGCCCTTTAAAGGGCTCCACAGTATGATGATATATTCATGGTAGATTCCAGTCCCAGTCAACACTGTGTGAGCCAAGTAAGTCACTTAAGATATGGCAGAATATTTGTTCTCCTATCTCCTAGGCATAACATGATGGTGAAATATTTGTGATGCCTTAGAAATCCCCTAATCCTTTCTGATTTCTAATTAATTACATTATTTTTTCAAATAAAATTTTACAATATGAGATTAGAAGAGTCATATTACTATATTCATTTTAAAAGTAAAAATTAAAAGAGAAACAACAAAACTTTGCATAAGTGTAGTTATTTGTGAAGAAGACTTTGGCTCCTCAGATGTCTAAACAGCTGTCAGAAGGCCTTTATCGCACCAGGTTTGTTCTGTTGATGTTTCCCCTTTGTGATGGAGCCGGGGATGGCAGAGGTAGAGGAGGTCAAGGCCTGATCCGTCATGAGCCAGCACTGCCCATGACACTATGCTGCCCTCTAGGGTTATATGACACAATCGTCACTAATTTCTTTCCCCTCATTGCTGCAGCCCACTCACTGTTAGAAGATGGCGCCCTTGCTTGAAATCCTTGATCCCTGCCAGTCTGTTAAGCATGCACTCCAGGCCTCCACACTGGGCCATCACACCAGCCATCTTATATACTTCTTCTTCATCTTCTTCTTCATCTGGAATGGAGGGGACAGAGCAGATATGAAAGGGAATGTGAGGAGAGATAAAAAATAGAGAGCCCTCTTGCAAGCTGACAGTTATTTTCCTCTAGGTAGTTAATAAAAAAGGTTAAGTCTGGTATTAAACTGCACTATATTTCACTCTAAGTAAGCACTTTTTTTCTAAAAGTTCAAGTTGATTAAAATGAAATAATCTACTCAAATATGTGAAAATACAATTACACTGCTACCAGTGGAGAGGAAACAAAATAACCAAGATAAAACTTAATCAGAACTAAAGTCTGTTGCTACCGCTTTTTTGGTTTTCCCTATAGTTGACTATTTTCCAATCTACAGGGTCTCAGCTATGCCAGAGATGGCTGATGGCTGTGAACATCCTTAAGTCCCATGACTCAACTACATTCTGGTTCTAAACCTCAACAAAGAAGCACTGTCTTTGAAAAGGGCCATACCTGTGGTGGAGTCTAAAGACTCAATGAACTCCTCTGTGGCATCACCCAGTAGTCCCCGCATACGATAAACAATCCTCATAGGCTCTCCCTGAGTAGAGAAAAGTATGTGTATCTAAACAAACAAAACTCATGCTGTCACTGAGTCAATTCTGACTCACAGTGACCCTACATGACAAAGTATAACTGCCCATGGAGTTTCAAAGGCTGTAAATCTTCAGAGAAACAGATGGCCATGTATTTCTCCAATGGAGCAGATGGCAGGTTCAAACCCTCACCTTTTTGATTGGCAGGAGAATACTTAGCCACTGTTCCATCAGGGCTCCTGACTTGTCTAGGTTCCAAGAAAAATGCGAAGGACTAGACACTTGCTCTTGTTTAGTGCCTCAGTAACAAGAAAAACTAAATTTTGTGCAGTCTTAACCAGTACATTTCTTAGACTCTATATGCACTGTCATAAACTTATGGAAATGAAAGCTACTTATTTCAGGTCTACTACAGGTTCAGAAACCTCCTAGTGGGTCAGCTATGAATTGGTTCCCACCCAATGATTTTTTTTTTACTACAGTCCAGGCATTGTGTAAACTGCCTAACAAAGACAGAGCACATTTATACACTATAATATTATGTAATAATTACAGTTTATTGAGCGTATTACTCTATACTAGGTCCTATGCTAACGAAGTATTTTCCATTACCCTGCTTTTAAAATGGGTTAAGCAGCTTGTTTGATGTTATATAGTAACAAGCCTGAGTCCTCCCCGAAGTCTGTGCCTCCTTCTCAGGAGCAGAGCCTCTCTGCTAACTCATAAAGAGCAAAACCCAAAGAATCAGGATAAATGAGGTCAATTAGATCAAAGAACTTTGTCTCAAGTTGCAGGAATCAAATACCAAGAAAAGCAATATTTTGCCTGTGGAGGTTCTAAGGTCTTCATATAACATAAAAGGATTTCATCCAAATTTCTTTAAGCTAAAACTTAAAACCTCTCTAGAATTAAAACTGAGCCTTTAGTAAATTGGAAGATTATAGCACTTTAGTAAATGGGAAGAGTAAGTGAGTTCACCATGTGCCAGACCTTAAGTTAGATACTTTAGCACTTATCTTAGTCTTCTCATTGTAGAGATGAGAAATGGGGACTCAAAGTCACATGAGATGAAATTAAATGGAAGAAGAGGTATCATACTAATACAAACTGCCTGCCTCCAAGCCCAGGAATTTTGTAAGATAGAACCCTGAAGGAAGAGAATCTGTCAGAATGATCAGTTCTAGAAGTGTTTCCAGGCTTGAAAGCCCAGTGGGAAATTCTCAAGAGAAAAAACAGTGGTTTTATACCATGGACACAGAAAAAAGAAAAGGTAACTAATGAGACTGTTTATCAGGAAGGGAGTGATAAAGTAAATGGCAGTCAAGATCTAGCTTAAAATTTACTACAAACTCTGGGCTTTATCAAAAGGAACCCTTCAGTGGACAAAGCTAATGTTGAGGGAAGGCTGCTTGCTTCTCAAACTCGGCTTTTTCTGGTTCATTACAGGAGATGCCTGTGAAGAGTCTTTAGTTTCAAAACCAAAATTTATTATAATGGTGCCCATAGAAATGTCTCATTTTTCTATATGCATCAGGAATTAAATCTGTTTCATTATAAACCAGTATAAAATAAAGAAAAAAGAAACAAAATCTGTTTCATTATGTTTGAGACTGTAATACCAGTGGTGGGCAAGATATAATGGATATGACAGTCTTCTGCTTCTCCTTCTGTCAAAGAGCTACAGCCACCCAAACAGCAACAACAAACCAACAATAAACAGTGATCAGGATTCCAACATAGTGAGAGGATAGAAAAGAGGAAAGCAAAAACACTTAACTAATTAAAGACTAGAACGTAGAAGCAGCACACTAACAATTTAGTTCCATATACTCTACAGAAATATCTGAGATTAAGTAAAGTTTCTGATGCTATGTTAGTACAGCAGTTGTTTGCTATGATTATTGATGCATTTACTAAAGGTACCCCCTGCCCAGGAGTAAGTAGCAAGACAAAGGATTAAGAATAGAAGAGAAAAATGGAAGGGAAGGAAAGGAGACCGGACAAGCAAGGAAGGAACATTGAGACTAAGAAAAGAGAGGGGAAGGTAAAGTGGAATATCAGGAAGGAGAGTCTCCTAAGAGGAGAAATACTATGGAGGTGAACAAAAAGACACAATGCTACTTTACTTTCTTCATTTTCCCTTTTCCATTCTCAAAGCAACTGTTTGCTTGAGTCTTAATTCTCCAACTAATAAAATTAAAACTACTTATGGACACAGCTGCTGGAGAAAAGTATTACATGAACAGACCCAGAAACAGATGAGAATTAATCTGTGGAGAGGAGCCAATAACAAAAGAGTATTAGACAGGAAGTATGCCCCCATCTCAATCCTCTCTCAAACACTGCCTGACCTCGGTCTCTGGGCCTGGGTAGCAGAGCCTGTGCTACACACAGATAGGAACTGCTCATCCTCTCCAGAAGCTGTTCACCTTCACTCATCAGATTCCTCAAAAGAAGAACAAGATTTTCTCCACACCAACCACCAACAGGAAGTAAAGCTCTTAAGTGCTGAGGCAAGCTGGGAAAGTGATGATTAACAACTGCCTGTCCTGGACAGGTCTACGTAAGTCGGAAAAGTGAAACCACATCTCCAAGCAAGAAAACAAGCACATACCTCATTCGTGGTACACCAGACCTTCTTGTAAACCTCAGCCACAGGAAGGTCCAAGCTAATGATTTTATTATTCACTAGAAGCTGAACAGAAAAGGTTGTTATTTCAAAAACATAACTGAAAGGCAATAAATGTCAAGACTAGCACTTTATATCAATGGTGACAATTTTTGTGTCATAAACTTCTATATGGACTGATTCTCCTCTAGAAAAATGAACATATGCACAACATACAGAACTGTGTTTACAGTGTCAGTGGTTACAAACATTCTTAGCCCAAACAATGGTCTCCAGTTTACAGACCTCTGCTAAGAATCTTCTTCTATCTTGGGTTCACTTCAAACTCAGCAGCAGAAAAAGCAATTTTCTATATTTCACTCAATATGCTTTTCACAGTGTACATAATGCTTGACCCATGAGGTCCTATGCCAAAAAAATATCAGACACAGGGCCAGAAAGCCACACAATGATTAAAGTCAGTATTTAAGGAGCCAGATTAAGCTAGAATCACTCAAACTGTAGCAATAATAAAAACTTACCATCACTCTTTTTTTACCACAAAAAATTACTAGCTATTTGCTTATTCATGCCAGGCATGAATAAGAACTCGTTCTAAGTAATTAACCTAAAAACCAGGTGAAGTCACAGATGGGCATCATTAGACCCAATTTAAAGATGAAAAAACTTCTCCGAACCAGGATCTGATCCCAGTCCATACGCTTAATCATGGGGCAGAACTATACTAGGTTTGTTACCTCCATCCCACTGTCATCTTCCAAAAGTGCCACCAAGTCACAGTCCTGGCAAATCTTATTCTTTATGTCCCTCATCAGTGGCCCAATGCCTGGTTCATTGCTGCTGTATGGGTTCCCAGGCATCCTGCCCTGTAAGAAGTCTTCTTGTTGAGGATCCTTCTCCAAGGTCACAAAAAACTCAGTGACTTCATTTTCCTCCTAAAGGACACAGAGAAAGAGTCATCAGAAGGTTGGTATGATGATATATGGTAGAGAGATGGCGTAAGTCTTTTCATTTATAACATGCTGCCTTGTCTAATAGACACTCTAAAGGAGAAATACTACACTAATCAACCATTTATACACCTTTAAAGCTCAGAGTTGAAGCAATTCAAATATCCACATATAATTTAAGTAGTTTTAATATCAAGTATCTCAATAAGGGATTTATCTTTCACTGCTTCACAAACTGCTGTCTGTCAGATACTCCTCTAAATCTGAACATTCAGATTAAGACAGACTAGGAA